GTCTCCCATCCTCTCTCTTTAATTTCTTCTATCCAAATAAAGTGTTAGTGTTTGAATTCAATTAATTAGCAATTTGATTTTTAACTATTTTAAAAAAAAATAATGATTTCTCGTGTGCAAAAAGAAAAGAATCCAACGGAATTTTGTCAGAAAAAAAATTTTCAACATAATTGGGATTCGGAGGTCAACCCTTAAATTGAAAATACACTTTTAATATGACTTTATAACTATTGGAACAGGAGGACAAAATGCAGATTTGTAGAAGTTTAAATTGCACCATGTCTGCAAATTACAATAGTAGTCATTAATAGTGAGAAAGGGTTTTAGTTTATTGGTTAAATCGTTACATATAAAAGGCTTTCTTACTCAGAAAATTTTTATTTGTATAATTTCATTTTTATCACTTTCTCTCACAAATTGAGATAATTTGTCTTGTTTTATAAAAAAAAAAATAGTAGTCATTAATGGTAAGAGTTCATCACTAATGAAATATAATCCATTAGTTATTGTTTTTTTTCCTAATTATAAATTAAAAAAAATTATTTTGAAATTTAAATTACAACAAAATTATATAATAAAAACTTTTTATCTAAAAGTGTCAGTTTTATAATATCGAGGCCTTCTTTGAGAATTTGACTGATTTTATAAATTTATAATTTTTTCTTAAATATTGGGTATTTAAAAATACCAATATATAAATTAATATATCAACCATTCATGATAACTAAACTAAATAAAATGACATGTTTTTTTTGACAACATATATTAAAATTCAAGACTAGCGGTCTATTAATCTGAGTAAAGATAACTCAATTTTTTTTAAATAAGATCTCAAATTTAAATTTTATGAATGAAAAAACAGACGTTAAGAGAATTTCCCTTCTAATAAGGTCTAACGCAACTTAATTTCAGATTAATTAAGATATAATATGATGTTAATACTAAAAATAAAATTAAAATTCAAGAGTTTCTTTTTCTTTTAAATAAAGGTAATTATTTACAACTATTGAGAGATATAAAAAAATTTAAAAGTTAAAATTCAAATTTTTCAACGTGTTCTCATTTAAAAATAGAATGAAACCACTCCGTTCGCGCTATCAAGAACACGAGTTTAGTCCAACTAATTTCAATGATACTTATTCCGATAAAAAAAAAAATCAAGAATATTTATAAGCAACCTTGTCTATAAAATCTTCTCTATTTGGTTCTATCTTTTTCTGAACTATGATTCTTGCTTTGTCTTCATGGTGTACATTTAGATGACTTGAGTTCCAATACAAACTCGCCCAAGGGGAATTTACCTCTGCCCATTCGAATGGGTGCATGTAATTCTGATCAAATATTCAAAGTAATGAAGATAAATTAAATTAAATTTGGGAGAATTTTATCATTAAAGTATCAAATCATGTGAATTTAAATTTGCAACAATTTCTTCATTAAAGTACCAAATCATGTGAAGCAAATCACACCACCGTGCATTAATTAAACCGTGGGGGATCAAATGACTAAAATCCACCTGTGTTTGGAAACAGGATTATGTGGCTCAATCAAGAAGTTACAAAAATACCTTAAACAATTAATTCTAATGGAGTAACTCAACCGTTAAAAACTTAAATTTTAAATTAAAAATTTCAAATTCAAACCCTAAATATGATAAAAAAAAAACTTTAAAAAAATATATTATCTTATCTTATATAATCCATAATTAAATGTATCAAATACATATATATATATATATATATATATACCTTTAACAATTTCGTCTGAAGTGACCCAAATCAAAATGAAGGGATAAGATCAATTGCGAACCTGAAAAATCAACATGGTTTTGCCCACCCACCAGATTATGTCTAATTGTATAAATAGTGTAGTATTCAGAAGAAGAAATAATAATACATAAATTCATTTTACAGTTGAGACTGCAAAACATTAAAAATTAAATAAAAAAGCCCGCACCCATTAACAGCAGGCCTCCTCATCATCCAATAAGTTAATCTTTTGCAGTTTGGACTGCAAAATACATTTTTTATAATACATATACAATTTTAGAGAAGCTTCTCAACATGCAAAAAAATATAACAAGAAATAAGAAAAATGAATACAAGATATCTTCACCTCTCCATACGGTTTAACTGGCTTTCCCGGTCCGTACCTAAGTAACATTGTGTCAACAACTTCTGCAGCCTCAATACTACTCTCACAAGAATCCAGAAATCATTTTGTTTCTCTTAGATTCGAGCAGAGTTCTTTTCTTTTTGTGAGTCTTTCTTGGATGACTTTGGGTATGGACGCCCATCACTGTGTTTCTTTCTCCTTGGAGCACCCACAGCAGCAGTGTCAGCCAATGGTCCAGACCAAGTCTGGATCGGTTCCTTTGAATAGGAGAAAATTGTGGTACTGAATGGAACATCAGGGGGGTCAAAGACGGGGTCTATATGTGAAGAACCCAAAGGATAACCAAGAGTACCATCTTGGTGTGGAGGAGGAAATTTCTCACTCTTGCTCTTCGCATTTGCATGTGTTATTAGACGCCGCCTCTGTGTAGCACCAAAGTTATAGCAATCCATCAAAAGCGGCAATTTAAGCTCAATTATACAATCAGAAAATGATATCAAGAGATATTCAAACATCGGTTTGTCCATAGAAGGGAGAAGAAATAATGAAAAAGGTTAGCATGGCCAGATTATGAACAGATTTATAAAGGGAAATGCAGCTTATCTGACGTACATCAATATTAGGTTGAAGCTCCGCATTGGCTACTGGAGCAGGAAATGCCCTCACGGCTCGATCACGTGCACGTGCTTTCTTCACTCCCTCTGCATTAGCCTTTCCAACTGCTCTCAACCTATTTTCACAACTCAATTCAGGTCACATGCAAACACTTCTATTTTTCTCAAAAGAGAACGTGGAGTGAAATGGATGCATAGAGAGATTCATGAAACCCAGCCATGAAATAAATGTCTAACTAGCCAATTAAAACAGCAGCTCTGACTGATTATCTTTTGTGTTTATAAATTTTTTAAAATTTCTAGCTGAAAATTTAGATATGGTTTATATCCCACCTCTGTGTGAACAACACTCATCTCTCAAAAACCACAGGCAGTACAAAAAAAGGTTTTATATATTTGCACTAATTATCAAAAGCAGATTGTGCTCAGGAAAATGGAAAAATATTTTGAATGGCAACAGGACTAACAATTAGAATTTGTAGGTATTTTAATGTCAAATACCTTCTAGCTTCTTCATCTCGCAGTTTAGCATCCATCTCTTTGCTGGGAGGATACTTTGGAAGGCTGGAAGGTTCACAAGCATAAGGCTTGGTTGTGAAAAACTGCAGAACAGTGAAAAACCTGCTCAAATGACATTTTCAACTGAAGATAATAAACTTACACTGGCTTAAGCACGAGAGTACCCTAAGCTTAAGCTCATATAAGATTGTTCACTACTGCCAATGGCCCATGCATAAACATGGTTGGATCCAAAATAAACTTTGCCAATCTTGGTTGTATCAAACAGCTATAAAGCATTCTTTTGCTCTAAAAAATACAACTGCATGAGAATTAGGTGCAAAAACTGCCTACCAAGAAATTGACTAACAGGCTCTCAGCCACAAGTCTAGGGTTCATCCCTAGTCTCTAGGAACCAAAAAGGAAATTGACTACCATGAATCATTTCAATTATCAAATTGCTCTGATATGATATGGTCACCCAAAAACTTGTAAAATAACAGGCCACACCAAATTATTATCAGTCCACAATAACCAAGCATGGGAAACATGATATATTGAGAAAAAATGAATGCTCACTTCACTCCCCAATGCAACTGTAGCAGTCTGACGCTCAGCAGGGTCAATTGCAAGGAGAGTCTCAATCAATGGCAACGATGATTGTGGGAAGTCTTTAAATGTCTCTGCTATGCATCGTTTATATGATTGTTGAGGCTTAAAGATTGTAGCATGTGGAAGCTTTGATTTTTTCCAATACTCATCAGAAGGAGATCCACATAGTTTGAAAATCTTGTGCAGTTGCTCCACCTAAGTAACATGAGAGCAATTAGTGGCAGTGCTACATTCACAGCTAACTAACTAGATAAGCATGCATTTTTATGTCAATACTACTCATTTTGGAGTAAGGTAACAAGATCATGTAGACAGTTTCTTATGTGGCAAGTACTTGGAAAGGCTTTTACAAACTTGTATGGCTTTTGAACTTTTGGAACCAGAGTAAATGTGATCATAATAGGAATATTGCTTTCCAAGCCCTTTCATCGTCACTGTAAAAGCCAGTGGAACTTTCATGAAATCTGTAATAACAAAGCAACCATTGTGATACCAGTTGTGTTAATGGTGTAATTGGATATTGAAAAACAAAACATGAAGCTGTACTTGAAGGATATCCCAAAGGTATGAAACCAGTTTAATTTGATTAAACCTGGAGATTCTGAAGCAATATTTCTATAGTTGCCACTAAACAATCAGCTCTTATGGACGAGGTGCAAATGAAGTGGAATACAGGATTATTGAGTGTACAGCCCCAGCAATGCCTAGTTTGGGATTGTAATCATCCCACTTGGGATTTGGATCAAAACAACACTTATCCTTGTCCCAAAAAAGAAATGGAATGCATGAAATAATGATGTGGAGAGGTGGGAATTTGGAAAATCAATAGATGGATATGAAATGGTAATCCAACTTTCCCATATTGTTAAGATATGTCAGGATAAAAGAGTGTGACAGAGCGCTTCATGACCAAGAAATATGTCAAGGGAAAAGACAAGAACAGAATTAATCTTTCAAATATTGGTCATATGCAAGTGCAATAGCCTAAGCATGTAATTTTACTTTCAAGCCAAATTTTAACACAAACAACCTTTTGCCAGTACTTTGGCTTTATGAATTTAAGCTAAAAGAAATAAGTAGTATCAAACAGACTAAAAACTAGGCATCAGCAGCCTACAATGTTGATGAACATGCATGCGCTTCTTAGAGTGAAAATAACAACACAGGCATACTTGCAAAAGAAAAAATAAATAAATAAAGACTAAGAATTACCTCAGTTCGACCAGGCATGATAGGCTTCCCAGCTAATAACTCAGCTAGAATACAACCAGCACTCCAGAGGTCCACACCAACACCATAATCAGTGGCACCAAGAAGAAGCTCTGGAGGTCGATACCACAGGGTAACAACCCTACTAGTCATGGGTTGCTTCTTATTAGGATCAAAAAATGAAGCCAACCCAAAGTCAGCAATTTTGAGAACTCCACCACTGTCAATGAGAAGATTCGATCCCTTGATATCACGATGCAGTACATAGCAGTTATGACAATGTTCAAGCCCTGATAATAGTTGGTGCATAAAACACTTCACCTGTCATGTCAGCACAAGTTAACCCAGGCAAACAAAAGAAAGAAACAAATTAAGAACCATACTTAAAAATATTGTCAGACCTGAGACTCAGTGAAATTGATTGTCGGACTTGCAGCCAGTCCAGCCAGATCATGCTCCATGTACTCCAATACAAGATACAAACTACATGACATCCTAGACGTTGCCAACCCTTCCAATTTAACAACATTAGGATGATCCAAACGACGCAAAATCAAAATCTCTCTAGCCATGAACCTAATACTCTCTGGCTCCATATTATCAAACCGAACCTTCTTCAATGCCACAATTTTCCCCGTTAAAGTATCCCTAGCTTTATACACATTACTATATGTGCCTTGTCCAATCTAAACATAGAAAAACGAAATCAAGAAATTTAAGCAAATGCAGCAGGTAACTTGGACTGAAATAGATATAACACAATGTATCAAGCATCAAGCTTATCTGTAAATTAAATCAAACTGTTAGATGAAATAGAGCCAGGATACCTTATCAAGCTTCTCAAAAGCATCAGCTCGGCGGGGAGTCCAGCCATTGATTGCCTCGCCAGCGAACTCGGAGAGCCAGGAGGGCCATCCAGCGGCGACTTGCTCGCCATGGATGTGCTTTGGAGGGTTGCTTAACCTTGGATTTGGCCGCGATGACCGCCTCTTAGACCGCACTTTCTCTGCTGCTACTTCATCCTTCTTCTCCTCTTCCTCCTCCTTTAGATTCCCACCATTACTTACCACCCCCTCCGGTTTCTCTGCTACAACATCCGGTTTCCTCGCAACCCTAA